CTTCCTTTCTCTCACTTCATTTAACTCATTTTGTTTACTATTTCACCCGTCAAGCAATATGCAAAAGACTCTAATATTGTTTTTGTAATTTTGTTGTTGGTTCAGGTAGTTTGGTCTTAAAGGCAAGTGATGTATATTTGTGTCTTTGAGATTTTTTGTTCATTTGGTGGTAGTTTGGTAAAAAGTGTTTTTGTTAAGAAGTGCTACACATTTAAAAGGTAAAAATCACTAATTCACCCATGGACTTTATAAGTTTGAGCTTAGGTTTCCTTAGACTATAATTTTGTAACTTTAACCCCTGAATCACATTGGTTTGAAAATTTAAGCCCAAATTAATGGAAAAAAGTCACAAGCCTCACGTGTTCGTTAACCCTTGGTCTAAAATCACCATGTCATGCAACATATCATCAATTTTTAACACTTGTTGCTTTGCTAGATTATAAACAAATAAAACTTCAAAAACTTAAAATAACATATGAAATTACAAGTTTGCTCCCATCTTCTTCATCCATTCTTTCTCCTTCACTTTCCCGAATCTCTCTCTTTACCCTTCCTCTTTCTCCATCTTTTTGTCTCTTTCCTCTTTATTCTTTCTTCTCACTCCCAATCTCATCTTAGCTTTTCTCTTGAACCTATATGGGTTCTGGGTTCCCTCAAACATGGCAAAAATCTCTAAAGGCTTAATATTATTTAAACACACACACACACATACACACACACAAAGTTTTTCTTCAATTGTAATTCTATTCTCAACATTAGCACTTAAAATTGTCCATAATACAATTTAAGTATTGGGTTCTATGAAGAACCCACATTGAATTCTCATTAGAGATTCCAATATAATACGGGTACTAGAGAACCTAGATTTGGATTCATTAAGGGACCCAAATTTGGGTTTCTCAAAGGAACCAGGTATGAAACAAAGGTGGCACTGAGGATTGGAGGTGACTTCGACATCAGAAGGGCTATGTGCATTTACTTTGCCAAGGAAAGAGCAACAGTGGCATTCACGCATGTGAAGGGCCATGATTACTATGACATGGATGAAACCTTGCAAATGCTTATAGAGGCCAAGACCCCTAATACCCAAGTCAAGACCCCTAATACCCAAGTCCCCATGGCCGTAGTTGCCAACATTGGATACAAAGAGTGTTGCGAGAGGGTTATTAACAAAGTTGTGCATGAATATGGATAGATTGATATCCTAGTAACCCATGGGTTCTCCAAAGAACCCATACTTGG